ACATCAACCATCTTGACGCGCAGTGAAAGAGAAAAAGCAGATTTAACAGAAAAGGATCTACAAGGACATTCCCTCTTTTGCAATGCCTGCAATGCCCTCTTGGGCGGGTGGCTATTGTCGACTCGCCAAAACTCAATGCCGGGTAATTAAGCTTGAACGCCAGCCTTGGCAGCTGTCAGGGACCCTGGAAATTTTGACGATTCGTACAGCTGCTGAGATCGATTGTCCATCTTGCTGGCTTCCGTCTGATGTACTGTAACTACTCAGCAGGTCTGTCCGGGTTTCCGACATGTCAGACTACATGCAGACAACAGCTCTGCCATCTGTCTTCTTCCACAGTACATACATCAGCTCTCCAAACAATCGTACAGGTTACGCAGAGTTAAAGGGGAGAAAAAAACCCTCCCTCTTCCCCCCGTACTTCACTCCAATTGTGGCCGTTCGGTCCCCAGCTGTCTGTCAATCAATCCTGAACAAAGACAAGCGCCCCCCACTGACAGACAAGACCCCCCCCATCCCCCATCGCTAAATCTGGAAGGATGAGCGGCTACTCAATCGTCAACAAACGCGCTTTTTCCACAACCGGACAGAAAGAAAATCGGAGCCCGGGATAAAAAAAAGCAGATGGTCAAGCACAATTGCACCCCCCGTGTACGATGACATCAAGGGCAATTGACAGTTGGCAATGGGTCCACAACTTTCTCTTTCTTTCATCTCCGCTCCGTGCTAGCTACGTAGTGTTCGCCGAGTTCAAGGTTCTCCCACTCAGGGTCCAAAACGGCTCAGGCTATCCTTCTTCCCAAGGGTGCGGTTCCCGGGCCAATGGCCATCGAACCGGGACTTTTCCTACTTTGCAAAGAACGGGACGATGTTCTTCTATGCTATGCATGGATTTCTTGGTGGTTCGTTAAGAATAATTGTATAGTGCGTAGCTCGTCGCATGGCGGGCCTTGACGCGGTTGGGCCATAGACTCATTGCCTTGCTCCATGGGACTAGACTTTGTTGATAGAGTCTCGTCGTCGGTTTAGCAGCCCGCAGCCGATCCGCCGGGACTTTTCACCTCCCTCCCATCCCGCCAGCAGTCAACAAACCGGGCGGGGTGTCATGCATAAAGGCATACTCTTGTGGAAAGAGAGTCTCAGTATCACCTTGACGCAACGGAGTTCGTTCCGCCAACGACGTTGTGCATGCACCTTCCCGGCAGCACTCACCACCTTGATGTTTCCTCAACATCTATACAGAGTATTTCGTAGAGACCAAATATGAACAACACCAGTGCCAGTCCTCCGTATATAACCTCTACCCCAAACGCATACGTACTCAACCTCCCAGCCACCTACCAGAAATACACTACCTATATCCATGATGCCATATCCCGCCATGATCGAGCCATGTGAGGGCATTCCCAACCTCCTCCAACCTCCTCTGTACCCAGTCAGGTAATCTACTTCCATATCACTCCCTCGGAACCGTACCCGCACCCAACAGGCAGCAAACCGGTGAGCGTATACAATTAATTCATTCTAGTCACTACTTCTTCTTGCTTCCAGAAAAAAAAAGCCTTCCCTAATTTCCCCCAATCACGGACATGCTAAGAACCTCCCACACCAAATCCAGCAAATTCAAGTAAGTACGGTAGTTCCCCCCCCCCTTGGGCCGCTGGGCGAGCCGACTATTGAAAGACAGCGTGTTTCAGATGTGATCGAACGTGGGGGGGTGCGGGAGGGTGCGCGGCCCACTCGTTCTCCCTTTTAGGGGGCTGTTATTCTACGCGAGCGGGCACTTCTATGCTTTTCTGCCTACTCGGCATGATGTCCCAGTTAATTTGGAGGGTGCGGGAAAGGTGAAGGATATGTTTGAGGTATTGCGATGCGATTTTGGGAGTTCAGTTCGTGGGATGTGGGTTTGGGTGTGGTGCCAGCGGTGGTGGATGTAGACGGGTAGAAAGGATGATGATGTCTGGGAACTCCGGTTGGTATCGATACGCACCGAAGGAGACAAGGCGTGCAGCTTGCTGGCTTGAATTCGGTGATGATAAGCAGGTACATAGTACATGTACAGTACGTCTCCAGGTACATTCAGGTACAAGTGCTATACAGTGCGGCAAGTGTTACGGCCACGAGTGCCACGGAGCTTGATCCCATCTCACAAGCTGCACTAGCTGAGCTTGTCGCTTTGTCAGGCTGCATATGACATCTGCAGGATAGGGGATACAAGGTATTCCGAAGGTCGTACATCGGCTACAGAAGAGCGGGAGACAGCTCATGTGTCACCAAAGATCAAAACTCAGGGTGCCAACTTGTGGATTATCAGTTCTATCAGCGAAAGCTCTATGATCATTAAATGTGTTCGTCAGAACGTCACTGTAGTAATACAGAGAGCATTTACAGCTACATCATTCCTCATAAGCACCCTCACGATCCTCGAACGTCATGAATTCGTGGTCGGTGGCCTCATCTCCCATGATAGCCTGCCAGGCATCCTTGACCGTGTCAATCAAAGCATCATCGAAAGCAAGGTCAAGGCTTGGGGGTGGAAGGCGGATGATACGCTCAACTGGGTTGGCAGGCTGAGCGGAGCGAGTCTCGGCTCGTCCCAACTGAGTATAACAGAGCGACCAAAGAACTTGTGCATTGGGACCCCCGGCCGATTCAAGAAGCTGCTGTACAGCAAGATCAATCAAGGCCTGGCCATCGGACCCGGGCATGTTAATGCTACCATAAAGGACACCTGAGAAACATATTAGCAAGATGTTTTAAACAATCATGCAGCGGAGAAAAACAAAGATGTGGGATGCTCTTTATCAGTCTTCGTGAAGTTTACATCAACAGTAATCAGGCAATGTAGATAAGTTTTGAAGATAAGTCATCATAAGAGTAGAGGGGTAGGGAAGGCAGGAGTCAAAAAGGATTGAGAACTTACATTGTCCTGTTGGGCACTCGCCCGTCTCGCTAGAGTGAACCAGAATGTAGACCGGAGGCGAATCATCAGCCCGCCTAAGAGAAGCACCAGGGAAAGTGACAACCGCCCCAACAGGCACCGGTCCGCCCTCCGCCGTGGCCGGAAAGAGGCTCTCGAGGGAAGATGAAACGACCGATATGGACCGGGCTACTCTGTCACAATCACAAGACAAGCGAGCTGCTTCAGGGATATCCCAGTTGGAGCCGACGACAAACTTGGTCTTGATGACCTCGTCATTGGATAGCAGCAGTTGAATGCGAGAATCTTCATTCGTGGTATCCTCCGCGGGAAGTTCCAGTGACTGAATGCCAGTATTCAGAACATAAACACCACCACCCACGGCAAGGGCGCGGCACCCGACCTGAGAGATCTCGGAGCCACCACCCCACTTGACTGCAAGACTTCCAAAGCCAGAGCCATAGACACCCAACGAGGCCAAATGCCTCTTGATGCGAGTCACGGCAAATTGAGCCGACGTCTGTTGGGGAGAGGCTTGCGATAGACAGAGGGAAAGCAACGGTGCATGCAGCTCCTCCGGCACCTTGAATTTGGATGTCAGATACTCTGACAAGGATGCATCACCAACGTCCTCTTCCAGCGACGAGCCTTCTCCCTGATCTTCAACAGCGCCCAGTTGAGGCGGCCCGATATGACGAATGAACCTCATCAGGGTTCGTTTGGACTTCACGCTGATCATGTCATCCGCAAATATGTCCTCACGACTGCCCGGGACGCGATACAATCGCTTGTCATCGCTATCGCCAGGTCTGTGGATCCACCAGCTGCCGACGGCTTGAAACTCAAGCTGTCGGTGAACCTTGGACGAGACCAAGGTCGGAAGCAACTGCGAGCGGGCATAGATAAGCTGCGGAGACAGAGAGAGAGTGTATGCTCGAGAAGCGGACAACTGCGTACCGGCCTCAGGAGATCCATCTCCTAGGCGTACGCTAGCATCTTCGAAGGGGTGATCACCAGTCTCTTCACTTATCCATACCCGTCAGACAGTGCTCAGATTGTAGCTAGAGAACGATGGACATACCACTGTTGACTCTATTGACCCACTCCTCGGCTTCCTGAAGGCTGAATGCAGCTTCGGCGCCCCCGTAGTAGGGATTTCTATCAACGTGCAGGACGTTCTTACCCGACCGAGACAGGGCCCTGTCAAGCACCCAGCAGTCAGCGATGCAGTTGACAAGCACCTTCATTGAATAGAACTCACAGTGCTAGGAGAGACTGGGCCAGCCCAGTGCCGGAGATTGTTACATCCCACGGCGTATCCGCTAGTGACTCCATTGCGATGATGACTTGGCAGCATACAAAGCTAGAATGAGGGGCTTAGTCTTGTAGTGATGTGTTGAGCAAAGCCAGCTGCCGTCACGTTGGATGACAAGCTGTTGAGCACCTTCGTAGCAGGAATATCCAGCCCATGGGTGGTGCAACCCAAATCATTCCTCTCGAGAACGAGAAGGTTTTTGTTGGGAGAAAAAGAAATCGAAGGACGCGCGAAGAAATACATGACCCGCCGTGGTGGATCACGTGATGAACATCACCGGACCCGCTCTAGGTGTCCATGGTGACATTTGCAAAAAATGATACAAGTGCATCGAGTACCTCGGTGATCTGTATTTGTCTAGAGAAAGTGAATTATTGCGTGCTTAAGAATATTCTTCACCAGCTATTCTGTTAACACAAGACAAAGACAAGGAGCTATGATGAATGGATAGGTAATGCTGGAGCTGTAATTTGCATTCGACACAAAACACAGCGCTATAGATCAAGCTCTGTACTCCTCGAAATCCAGCCAAGCTTTGCTCATCCCCTTAGAGTTTCTTCAGAGCTGGCGAGAAGTTCAATTCTACTACATAGTACTTCGTATAGTAGAGGAGCTATGCATTGTTGCATCATTCATGGAATACATGTGCCTTAGGCTGTGAGCTAAAGCACTACTCCTGATACGGTTAGGCGGGATCTGGGAGAACCGCTTAAGGAGCAATTCTCCCACAACGTCAGGTTTCTTTCTTTCTTCACACCACTCCTAGTGCTCTGCACAGGCTTACTGCTGTCTCAACCGTAGCAGTATGTCGTCCGCGGACAAGCCTTCACTGGTCCTTGTCTTATTAGGAGTGGTAGAAAGAATCTTCACTCTGTATCTGCTGCTCTGGATGGTAACATCTGATGGAAGCGGTTCGTTTTGTAGTGATACATTCCACTCATCTAAAATCATCTGTCTGTCTGCGAACTACATGAGTGTACCATCTCTCCTTCGCAGATAGCAAGCTGTAGCTTCTGTACTTCAACAATTGAGCCATGTATCGCCGTGATGGCACAGAAATATGGCTGTCAGTGCTGTGCGTGACGCCGCCAATAGCGTGGTTACCGGCGCCAGGATGCTTCTCAAGCTCTGGTCATCCTGACCTCCATATGGCCCGACGACTGTCCTGTGTCCACTGGCTGGAAGTAGACATTGCTGGGATGTGTCAACGGAGCTCTTTGGTCCAATCTGCCTCGCAGTATTCGATGTTCCCCCACAACGATCTCACTCGTCCGTGCCTTCTTCCACGACCCTGGCGCGGATGATCTTGACCTCGTCCATCGGTCTATCCTCGCCATTCGTCTTCACGAGACCCATGCGCTGGATCACCCTCATGCCGCTCTTGACGCGGCCAAAGACAGTGTGCTTTCCATCCAGCCACGGCGTCGGTGCCAGCGTGACGAAGAACTGGCTGCCATTGGTGTTGGGACCGCTGTTCGCCATGCTCAGGATGCCAGCTCCGGTATGCTTCAGGTTGGGGTTGATCTCGTCCTCGAATTTCTCGCCGTAGATGGAGCTTCCTCCTCTTCCAGTTCCGGTAGGGTCACCAGTCTGAACCATGAAGTTGGGGATGATGCGGTGGAAAATGACGTCGTTGTAGTATCCTCGTTGCGCAAGGGTTGCGAAATTCTTACACGTCTAGATGGTATGACATGAGTCAGCTCAGAAGAACCTTGAAGTGTGCGTAGTGAGCTTAGTCTTTCTGTGACTGACCTTGGGCGCATGCGCATTGTAGAGCTCGACAGTGAACGAGCCCTGGGACCTGTTAGCAGCTTGAACTTTCTGGAAAAGCTTCGCCATAGACATACCATGCTCGTATCAAATGCTACATCAGTGGCCATTGTGAGAGATAAGCTAGTACTCGAGTACTGATATGCGAATTTTTGGAGGGGAAGGATGGGACATGCAAAGGTGGAGTGCGGCGGGAAAGTGAAGATTGGGCCTTGGCGTTGCATATTCACGCGGAACAATGACCGCATCCCAAGATAGAGGTAAAACACACTGCTTCAACAGCTATGGCCTGAGCACTTTCTGCCCCAACTTTCAGAACAACCATTTCGCCCCCCTCACATAGGCAGCATATCTCATAGTTCAGCCATCTCGCCCCTGCTCCAGGCCTCCGCAGCCACCATGGACGACGTCAGCCCTTTCGCGGAGATCCTGGGCCAGGTCATCTATCAGTTTACCCTCATCAAGCCTCTTCTCCCAACCTACGGCCACCTCCTCCTCTCCGCGATCTTTCCTATCTATATCGGCGCGCATGCATCGTTAGCGAAACCGCCATCGGCCACAAATCCCCCCAAGAAAACACAAGACTCCGAGTACGAATCGGATGACGATGAGTCGGAGGAGGACAACAAAAGCAACGGCCACAAGATGGAGGGTCTGGCACCAAGCGACGCCTTGATGTTCCCTCTCACAGCCGGACTCACACTCGGAGGACTGTATCTGTTCATTAAATACAAAGGGGCTGAGACGTTGAACAAGATCCTTGGTTACTACTTCTCGCAGATGGGGCTCTTCTTCGCCATAGCGTTCTTGAAAGACTTTCTCTCTGTCGTCAGATCCTTCGTCTTCCCAAGGAGATACAGCTCTGCTGGCCGAACCTGGAAACAGAAACCCTCCGAGAAGGCTTTCATTGCTGTCAAAGACGACCCAAACAATCCTCAATCGGCAGACAGTCGGCGTTCTCCCCTCCCCGGCGTCTTCAGCCGAATTCCACTCCCTGGTCTTGTACGTACTGCGATCTGGAAACTTCGCAGCACGCTATACTGGCGGGCCAAGCTCCGCGTTCATGTGCATCGACTTGTGCGTGGTGAAGTCTGGCTGGATATGCTGGATCTCCTCAGTACCCTCCTGGCGTTGCCCGCGATCGGCTACTTCACCTTCGTCACCAAGCCATGGTGGCTGACCAACTTCTTGGGCTTCAGCTTCTGTTACGGTACCTTGCAGTTCATGTCTCCGTCGACCTTCGTGACCGGATCGCTCATCCTGGGATCCCTGTTCTTCTACGACATCTACTTCGTCTACTTCACCCCGCTGATGGTGACAGTCGCCAAGAAACTCGATGTGCCCATCAAGCTTCTTTTCCCGCGGCCTCCGGTCTCTGGCGAAGCTCCGGACACCGTGTCGCTGGCTATGTTGGGCTTGGGCGACATTATCATCCCGGGTATGATGGTGGGGCTGGCCCTGCGCTTTGACCTCTACCTCTACTACAAGCGGAAGGGCTTGCAGAAGGCTCGGGCGGAGGGCAACGGAGTGGAATTCATCAAGCCCATATATCAATCCGCCACTGGAGGCTGGGGAGAGCGTTTCTGGACGCGGTCTGTGGCACCGAAGGAGCCTGAATTGCAGCCCCCATACCACGATGCTCGGTCTTTCCCCAAGACGTACTTCAAGGCCAGTATTGTCGGATACTTAGTGGGGATGATCGCGACGCTGGTGGTGATGCAGATCTTTGATCATCCTCAGCCCGCTCTCTTGTACCTTGTCCCCGGGGTCCTGATCTCTTTGTGGGGCACTGCCTTGGTTAGAAATGAGATTGGTGAGATGTGGGAGTTCAGCGAGGAGGACGAGGATGATGAGGAGAGCGACGAGATATCAGAGGACAAGAAGGAGCATCCCGAACGCCAAGAAAATCTGGGCTTCTTTTCTCGCATTCTCTCCTATTGCAAGAACTCCGACAGCGGCCGTGCTGAGACATCCGAAGATAAGGACAAGAAGGCGGAAGGTGATGATGCTGATGATGACGATGGTAAAGACTCCAACACATCCAGTGACAAAGAAGAGGAGGCCAAAGACTTCGAATTGTTCACAGTCTCCCTCTTCTATCCCAACAAGGCGAAGAAAGCTCTCAAATCAAAGAGTCCCGCGCCCAGCAGTAAGTCGAGTGCGGCGGACGAAGAGAACTGGTCGGTTGTGGGCGCAGAGGGTGACAGTGAGCCTCCGACCAAGCGTCGTCGGCGAAGTCCTCGCCATGCAGGCGCAACCAGTCCTTGAAAGAATCGCTGAATCAGATGCATTGTTGGAGTTGCGCACTCGTTACGTTTTAGGTTGCTGGTGCTTGTTGACGTACCTTACAATATTAAATCACTGACCACGAGGGAATGAGAAGAAAGCCATAGGAAAAGAGATGACAACGAATCTGGTATCATTTACTGTAACACTAGCTATTTTCACGCAAGTTAGAAAAATAAAAGGACGGAGAAATCTCAACACTGCTCCAAGATCAGCTTCAGACTCTCCCATCTCTCCGCCGCAATATCCACCAACTGCTTCAACTCCCTCCCATCCACCGCCCACCCACCATTCTTCTCCATCTTAACAATCACTGTCTTCCCCATCTCCCGATCCACCACCAAACACACGCGCTCCTGACTCAACCCCTCCTCATACCCATCAGGATCCGCCAAGATCCACCGCCGCTGCATACCCCTCCGCTGATCCTCCTCAATCTTCTTCTCCTCCTCCGCATCCGGCACAATCACCGCCCTCCACCCCGCCGCGGCATCCGCCTCAAACACACAGAACGAGCTGGCGATTGGCAACCCCCGCAACGACAGCCTCGTCGCCTCCGCCACGGCCTCGGAGCACACGACCATCTCATTATCAGCATCCCACCACGCGCGCGGCAGCCGGGTATCCCGCAACGCCGCCAGGACCGCCGCCCACGCCGCGTCAAACGCATTCCCCGCCAGCGAGATGATCATGATATCGATATACAGGACCCAGAACGCCTTGATCTCTTTCCCGTCGTTCTTCTTCTTCCGCCCTTCGTCCTCCTCCGCATCAACATCCATATCCCCATCCCCTTCAAACGAAGGCACCTGATACCAAACCCGCAGATCCTCCGCCCGCACCAACCGGGTACTGTGCAACAGCCCCAGAATCTGATGGGAGAGGGACTGCGCGAGGGCCGAGGGCGGCGCGCCCGGCACGAACCCCGGCGCGCAGCCGGTGCTCAGCGAGAGGTTCGGCACCAGGAGGTTGAGGTCTTGGATGTGGGATTCGTCGGCGTCGGCGTCGGCGTCATTCTTGGTGGTCGTCGCACGTTTGTGAGCGCCGGACGAAGCGTGCGACACGCTCCACGAGGCGATGTCGCTGGTGGGGAGGAGTTCGGCGCGCACGCCGCAGACGGCGGTGGTGTCGCCGACGCGGACGACGGCGCTGCCGTTCGTGTGGGTGAGGGAGCCCGTGTTGGCGGAGGTGGGGCGGAACTGCGCGGGCTGGCGGCCGTTGGCGCGGAGGGAGGGTTGGTTGCTGGACGCGGGCGGGGAGAGGTGCGCGAGGAGGTAGGCGTGAGGTTGGAGGCGGGCGAATTGCGAGGGGGGGAGGGTCAGGGCTGGGGGCGGCGCTGAGGAGGCCATGATTGCGTTTTGAGAATGGTGGAGAGACTCGTTTCGTTGTTGATGCAATGCTGTGTTGGTAGCTGTCAAGATTGTGTAGAGGGATTGGGAAGAGATGATGCGCTGGTTTGAACAACTCTTTGATTGTATGAAGGTAGGTTCGTAGGTTGGTTTGTCGGTGGATTCAAACTGCGTTGCATTTTTCGGCGGCAGAATTGTGGGGTTATCTCTGGGCGGTGAGAGGGGGGAGCTCTAGTAGCCCAGCTTAGCTTGTTAGAGCACTAGTCTGTATACCATAGATCGAGATCTAGCTGCTGCGATAGCCTATCTGTCGTCCAAGCAGTTTAAGGTGCTTCTTTACTCTATCGAGCCTAGAATGTCTTGCTCGTGGATTTAAGCTGTTGGAACACATGTAGTTTGTCATTGCCATGAAGTAGCTTGATTGAGCAGATCGATCCCTATGAGTTTACCAAAACACAATAGTGCTAAGTACTATATCTACTCTTGACCTCGCTATACCATACTTCTTCGCAGCTTCCAAGTACGCCATTTCAGGCGGCGAGTGCAGGGGGAAAAAAGAAACCGCAAAAAAGAACATACCCGGGGCTGGGATTCGAACCCAGGCCTGTAATGGTGCGGATGGGTTTACCCCGAACGCAACTGCCGAGATCTGCAGAGAAGCCACGATGTTCGCCCCGGCTGCGTGGTTACCGGTTTAATGAGGGGCTAGCAATAAGCGACACTGAC